TGTGTGTGTAGATGTCTGTGTGTGTGTATATGTCTGTGTGTGTGTGTATATGGTTGTGTGTGTGTGTATATGTCTGTGTGTGTAGTCAGCTTCTGAGCTGCATGAACAGTGTAGTTGTGTAATTTATATAAAGAGGTTGTGACTCGTCTTATTAAACAGTGGCGCCCTCTCTCGGACTGATGTGAAATCAGACTCACTCGGCAGAAAAGAAAAATGATTAATTAACAGTTCATAATTATTTTCAAAGCTCAAGAAAATGTGCATCTTTCTTTTCTATGTTAATACTTGGATATTTTGGGGGTTTTAACTTCGTAAAAGTTTCAATTAATTGAGAACACATTATCTATACATTATCAATAATTTACATTATCACCAGCTGCCGTCCTATTCAGTTTTTTTATTGTGTTCCTTTGTGTTCTTGTCTTCTTTTTATTTATCATTTTAATTCAATAAACGTTCCTTTTATTGAGTTTCTGCTCTGAAAATCATAAAGTTTGTATTTATATATAACTCTATAGACTTGATGACTCAAAGCGCTTCACAAACACATTCACTTCAGCACTTTATCACACATCACTCATAAACTGTCAGCACAGTCATCAGTGGTTCAGTATCTCACCCAAGGATACTTCAGCATTTGAAAATGGGGGGATGGGGATCGAACCAGTGACCTTCTAGTTGGTGGATGACCCACACTATCTCCTGAGTCTAAAAGGATGTCTGACTTGAATTTTTCAGATGCTCGCTGTCATATTTAGAAGATGCCCCCTAGCAGCCCGTAAGGTAAAGGACCATTTGTGATAGTCCAGCTTCTTAAGTACCATTTTTAATATTCTCTAGTAACTTTTAAAAGTGAAAATCTATTTGTCTTTCACATGAGTGGTTTTTTTTCATAGGTACTGCACCAGGTAGGTCCTCCACAAAGATGCTGGACATCTGTCTTGACTGGAGCTCCTGGCGGGGGACGTGGCTCCCTGCAGAGCTGCTGGGCCTCCTCAGCAATGCTGCTATCTACAGGAAGATGTCCTGGACTCTTAGACCCTCCGGCTGAGCCCTTCCAGAGGACTCAAACCCACGTTTCTCCATTTGTAGCGAGAAACCAACATTTCCACTCCTCTGCTGTAAAGTTGAAGAAGCGACCGCAGCCCGAGCCCCCCCCAAGAGAGCTGGACCTGCTGCGCTACGACATGAAGGACTTGTGGAAGGGTCCCAAACCTGCCTTGTACCTGGGGTTTGCTGGGCTGATCCCCTTCGTGTCCCCGACTGTGCTCATGGCTGTGACTGAATGCTACCTCCCAGAACTGGCCTATGCACAGTTAGCATACGGTGCCTCCATCCTGTCCTTTCTGGGTGGAGCTCGCTGGGGATTCGCTCTCCCTGAGAAAAGCCCAGCTGAACCAGATTGGATAAACCTGGCCAACAGTGTGGTTCCCTCCCTCTTAGCCTGGGTGGCCATGCTAATGAGCGACAGCATCATCCCTGCGGCCACCATGGTTATAATGGGCCTGGGAATCTCGCTGCATTATGACCTCTCTCTGCTGCCCACTTACCCCAGCTGGTTTAAAGCCCTGCGCTCCATCCTGACCGTTGTGGCGTTTTTTTCTCTAGTTGGTACTCTTGCAATTAATGAGATTTTCCCAGAAAAGAAAATATTCTCAGATTAAATTGTATAAAAATAAAATATATTTAAAACAAAAAAAGTTAGAAAACAGAATTTTGCATCTTTGTTGACAACTTTCAATCGTGTCAGTGTCGTTCTTTTTTTTCTTTTTTACAGCCAGCCATTATGTGAAAGCCACTGTGTGTAAAAAAAAAAAAAAGTGAATAAACGAGCTTATTCATTTTACTTTAGAGAGTGATTTAAATACAACCACCAGGAGACGCCAAAGTCAAAGCTCTTCATATAACAACATGGACTGAAGATGCTCCACACTTAAATATCAAATAATGCACCTACAGCTTCCATACTGTTGTTAATCATTTACCAGAGTCTGAAATGATGCTTTCAATGAGTCTGTTTTTTATGAGAACACTTAGAGGTATTTCTGAAAGATGCTTTATAGTCAGTTACAAGCAAATGTTGGTGTTTCTCGGTTACGCAGATATACGTTTTTAAAATTGTGCTGCAACTATACAGTAGCTGCAAAAAGCAATTATTTACACTGGGTCCCTTCCTTAGTCAAGCCCTATAAATTAGCAGAGCCACTTTTACTGTGTCCTTTTAAACGCAGAGGATCAGACAGCTAGAGTCACGAGTACTTATCACTGAGGAAAAGGATATTACATAAGAAACGAACCGGAGTAATCTGTACTTAAGAGCCTCTGGGGATGACTGCACAATATCACACAACACACACAGACACTTTACACACAGTACATTTGTTCAAATTCAAATAAAAATAATATACACTTCTCCTCTTTGTCATCCAATATTTTATTACTGTAAACACCATCGTCAAATTAACCAAATATTGGAAAGAAAGGCAAGATAAAGTGAGGGTGGAGACGTTCACAGACGTCAGAGACTAATCTCATAAGGCACATCTTCTCCCCCGTTCACCAAACTCAATAAAAGGTCAATACAATATTTTCCTGTAAAATGGAGACCGACACTCAAGTCAAAATCTGGACGAATTTCTGCAAGTAAATTAAGCTTCGCAACATTTGGTCTGACTGCTTCAGATAAAGAGTGGTACAATAAGGTGCTTTTTGGTCAAACGTTAAAAGAAACAAGTGAAACAGGACCCACACTTAAAATTACTTAATTGCCTCATCTACTCAAACCAACAATTAAACCAAATGACAAAAAAATAAACCTCTCCAAGTGTCTGTGCTTTGTAAAATATCCACATTAGGTTGATTGGATGTTAAGTCAGTTGACCCTGAGACCGTAGACTGTAATAAAGATGGAAGACACGTCCTTATTACTACATTTACTTACGACGTTGTCTCCTGCTTCTGCTTTTTCAGACAACTCCCACATTAACTTAAACCTCCTAGAATGGCCTGTGTCCCATCTGTTAACGTGAGGGAGGCCGGGTTTATAACCTATACTGCAGCCAGCCACCAGGGGGTGATCAAGACGCTTTGGCTTCAGTTTTGGGGAGCTATCGTGTCGTCCATCTTTACATACAGTCTATGCCTGAGACAGACAGTGCACTTTAAATCTGTGAGTGTAAACGCAGCCCGAGCAAAACCCACACAAACGGAACCACCATAGAAATCATAGTAATTATCCTCAGCTCTGAGCGAGTGCTGCAGGATCCAAACGACTTAGTTTAGTTTAGCACAGTTCTGGAATCACTTTAAAACTTCTCATGATGATATCAGATGCCGACCTACAGGTAAACAAGTGAGGGTCCCTCATATGTAAGAAGGTAAATGTATCAAAAAAATAAAATAAAATTGCTGCACATCTTTTTTCACTCTGGTCGTCACAGTTAACTCTGTTGCTGCCTACTTCTGAATTCCGAGGCCGGACCGCATGTACTCGTACACCACGTAGCTGATGCTGACGGCCGGTATGACCTTCATGAAATTGGGCAGGATGCCACGGTAAAGTCCAAAGAAGCCTTCCCTTTCCACAATCTTCTTCACCATGAGGTTCATCGGCAGCTGCTCGGAGCCCTCCACAGAGGCTGAGGAGGAAAATCAGACCAAAAAGGGAAAACACGTTTAATGAATATTTATATTTTACACATAATCCTCTCAAACGGTTTTAAATGACCTCATAAAGTCACCACTTGTTCATCTTTTGTACGGTAATGAGAAGAAACTTCTTACTATCACAGTAACACATGTAAATATTTATTAAACACAACTTTCAAATATTTGTATTTTACCGATAACGCAGGTAGTTTTATGTATTACATACATATAGTATGTTTGTACCTTCTACTTTTCTCACACGTTTTTATGACTTTTTGTTTCTTTGTTATTCCCTTTCTCTCTGTAAGATTTTGAGAGTAATGGCTGAACACCAACAGTGACTAATTGGCTTATTCTTTATTTTTTAAAACAAGGATTGGCTCATCGTACCTTGTGCCTGCATCCTGGTGCGGATCAGAGCCAGAGGGTAGCTGGCTAACTGGCCACATGTGCTGGATATGGTTCCACAGCCGAGCAGCACCAGAATACCCGGGTTGGCTGAGTCTTTGGCGTAGCGGGACAGCCAGAAGTTCTTCAAGCTCTGAGGATGGATATACAGTGTGTGAGTGTGTGTGTGTGTGATAAGGATTTCTGTTTTATCATCTTGAACAAAAGGCTTGGCGTCTGTTTACGTATTTTACTGATGAGATTCTTTCAACACCACGTACCTCGTACACCGCCAGATCGATTCCAGCGTAGGGAATGATGCCAATAATATTAGGGACGTAGCCTTTGTAAAATGCTTTCACTCCCTCCTTTTTCAAGATTTTCTTGCCACAGTCAAACATCCCTGAGTACTGTCCCGTCTTCCTCAGCGTCAGGCGGGTTTTCATCACCTGAACACACAGAAATTATCACTTTTCTTCACTAGGCAGCATTTTGACTTTTGTGTCTGTGAAGGAGCAGACTAGCAACCTTTTAGAGCAACTTTTAGGGTTTTAATCGCTGTATTTATGTAAAATATACTCAAATTCATTTAAAATTATGTTTAGATATCTACGTTTCATTATCTTCTAGGGGGGGAAAACATACTTACTTAAACATAATTATTAATATTATTATTCCATTCCTGTCAATAGATCCAACAAATTGGACTTTTAGAGACTTTGAAGTTGTTATTTGAATGTATTTAAGACTTTTTAAGGACTAAAACTCAGATTATTGAATTGTTAAGACCTCCTGCTGCTCACCTCCATGGGGTAGATGGCTGTTTGTGCCGTGGCTCCAGCCAGTGATCCAGCCATGAACCTCTCGTGGGTCCGGACCTTCCCCGGTTCACTGGACAGCAGCTTCTTAAACTGATGAGACACAGCGACACAGGAGTGAGGTAGAAATACTCAGTGGAAGCTATTCAGGACTAAAATAAAATACAAAAACACACTTTGTGGTACAACTATACTTTAGGACAATATTACCATGATTGTGCTGTTCATGTAGAACGATGAGTGATGCATCAACAATAGTAAGATATAATTAATTCCTATCTGGGTGGCTGCAGCCGAACCTCAGGTCTGTGCTGCGGTCAGTGATGATAAAATGAATGTACCTGCTCGTAGGCCATGAATTTAATGGCCGTCTCCGGGGCAATCTTCAGGACATTGATACCGTTTCCTCTCCACAGAGACGTCAAGCCTCCTTCTTTCAACATTTGCTTGAAACCACCAACCAGGCTGATTTTATTGCTCTTAGAAGAATGCACCTGTAAATATTAATAAATAAAAAAAGGACTTGAAATTATAAAAATCATTACTTTTCAAAAGAAATGTATTTCTCATGTACGAGAGGCAGCATTAAATACAATAGACTATAGATGACTGTCCTCAACATTGTGATATCAAGAATTTCTTTGAAATTTTCACAGATTTTCCACAGAATAATTAATAGATCTTCAAGAGAAAAGAAAACCAAGCATATTTAGGGTATCCATGAGTGTGATTTATGAAGTGAACAACCAATAAAATAAACATACCTGCATGAAGACCTTCATTCTGTCCAGCGGGGCGGTTCCTGTACGGGACACAGCGCCCGCCATCGCTCCTGCCGACAGCTGCTTCCACCAAATCCCAGTGGTCTTCTCCTCCTCTGTGAACTCGTCTGGGATGGAGAGACTGTCCCCAATGTCCAGCACCTACCCACAATACAATGCAAGTTAAATCACAGCCAAGGATATTTAGTAAATACTTTGCAAACTCATGTAGACTCTCACACTGATGCGTCTATTTCCAGCCTGAACACCTCAACACATCATCTGTGTGTATCTGAAATGTTCACTTTGAAACTAGAGCCCATTTGACATCAATATTAGAGAGTCATGAATTTATGATAAATTTAAAAAAATAAATGTTTATGTGTCATTATCAAACCCTTATAACAAAGAAATGTAATTGAGGCTTGATGTTTACAACTATAAAGAAAAAGAAAACACAAAGAACGAAATAAATAGAACATGTAGATCTGAACAATGCACATGTCTTAGGAATTGTTTATTCTGTAATTTAACAAAAAAGGGAAAAGGCTCGAAACGACCATAATCAAACATAAACATCATTAAAAGTTGGTTGTAACCAAGATACACCTTTTCTAAATGACCTGGAAACCTTATTGGCATTTCTTCCCTGCAGATTCTAGTGATTTACTCGCTGACACAAACAGCAAAATATTCATGTTGATGATTTTTTGACCAGGTGGAACACTTAAAGGGTCGATACACAAACCTACCATGTCCACCTCCACCTCATAGATCCCCCCATCATCCTCAAAGTCGAGGAAAAACCAGTTTCCCTGGTGTTGCTGCTGCTGCTGCTGCAGCACCATGGCCATCTCCACCCTCTGATAAAGCTGCTGATCCAGTACGGTGTCGCACAAACTCTGTGCTCAACTGAACCGGACGCTTCACACGATTCTAGCAACAGTCAGACGCCGAAGGTCTGCAGATCCCATCCGGCCCGAGGTGAGAAACGCTGGACGTGGAGTGGCCGTTAACCATCGACGTGATGGGAAACTCTCACTGCCGTAGATGTTACCAACCAAAGCTTCTTTCTCACCTCGCCCTCCGTGCCTGTGGCTTGTCCTGTTCTAGACTCACTTCCTCTCCCTCGACCTGTCCCAATGACGGGCTAATCCCCCCACAGGTCAGACTGAAATGAGCTTATCTCTTCCAAGCTTAGCAACTCCAGGTTTATTTAACCACGGAGGTTGTGCCAGTGAACAGAGGCAGCAAACGTCAGAGATTAGCCATTGACTGGAACTGGCATGAGACAACTGTACATGTCACAGAGATGGTTCCGTATAGTTGATAATCTAAATTTAAAGATAGTGCTAAAACTTTTACTTGTTGTTGGTTTAACAAGCAGCAGAATGTTTGGGAGAGAAACATCATGTCTGTTATCGATGTTTCTGGAACCAGACCAGAGAGCTCTCAGTTGGCGTGGTAACAGTCGCAATCACTGTTATAAATAAAACAACTTGTTTTATTTCTTGCTACTTATAGAACAACCTCTTTCCTCCTGAAAAGTCTCTCGATGACAAAGTCAAGTCAAGGTTCTCCTCCAGTGTCGACCTCTATTTCTTTAAGCAAAGACTTATCACACTTCACAGTCTCCTCCTCCACCTCTGCGCCGCCTTTTCTCACCTCTCCTCTGAAAATGAATGAACATAATCTGTTGAGGTCGTCGAGGTTCTGATCTGTTGGCAAAGTCCTCGGCCAAATCCAGCATGAGCTGAGACGTCTCTTTCACAACTTTCCCCTGTGGTGCTGGTGATCCGAGAACAAGGTGTGACACGCCAGGTTGAAATGTTTTGTCTCCATGTTGCTTCCATTTAGACTTAAGACTTACTATTCCATTTGAAAGCCAACAGGTATGAAGGTTTCTGTCTTAGTAAGTGGACATTATCTTGGTCTGTATAAAAAAAAGTCTAGAACTAGTTTACAGCTAAGAAGCTAAAGGAGAATTTGAATCTGGAGCTGCGACGAATCAGACAAAGTGAAGTTGATCTTAAATTTGTCTCAAAGAACCGTTGAAGAGCGGATTATTGATTTGCCACAAGAACAAACACTGAAGGACACGGCAAGACATTTCAGTCTTTTTCTCCCTGCTGATCAAAAGCCAGATAAAGTTTTGACCAGTAGAAAAATGTTTATGCTGTAACTTTTTTCACACCCTCACCTGGACACCACATTATTGTCCAGTCGCACACCTACAGCTCTGTATACAGTACATCCCCTCACACAGTCGGTGTTTTCTGTGTGTAAAAAAATGAAGCCATCTTTATGATCTGCCCGTCTCTTACCGTCGAGTGCTTCCAGTAGCGGATAATCTCCTGCAGGTTGGTGGCTGGGTTAAACAGGAAGTGCTCCCTCCACTCATTCCAGTCCACAGTCATGGTGCCATCCACGTCGATACTGCGCAACAAAGATAAAGAGAAGACATTTTAATTGGAACTGGAACAAAGACTGCATTTAAAGTTGGACGATACTGAAGCCAAAGTATCTTGATAGCCCCCTGGTGGCTGGCTGCAGGATAGGTCATAACCCCTACCTCCTCCATGATAGCCGATGGAACATCGACCAAACTAATACACAGTGGAGTTTGTCTTTCACATATGAAGAACAAATAGACACCAGGGAATAGTTTGGGACGAGTGCATTCACAACTACAGGAAGAACATTTCTGGAGCGTTCATGTGAGCGGCGGCACGGGGGGAAGGACGTGACAGATTAATTCCACTGCAGAGGTAACAGGGTTTTGTGTTCTCAGCCCCTGTCAAACATTTTGGGAGAATATCTGGGGTTCAGTGCAGATCTGAAAGCAGCTTATGTTGGAAAACTGTCCAGGGTTTATCCCGCCTCTCAGGCCTGCTGGGATTGGCTGCAGCCCCACCCCTCCCGACCCTTAAAGGATAGATAGTATAGATAATAAATGTATTCAACCCATGTCTCTATTCCACATCAATCTCTGCCTTCAATGTGTTATTTCCTTCCTCTGCGTCAGCTCAGCAATTATTCTGTGTTTTTCAAACTGTCTGATTCACAGTCATACACAAGCTGCTTCACTTCTCTTTTCATATCTGTCACGTGAGCTCTTGCACATCTGCAGCTTCACACTTTGTTTAAGCAAATACATGACACAGCTCAACCGCAGGAGCCTGGAACGACCTGGCGAAGACAAGGACGGGACACAACTCCCTGTAACATGTTCATGTACAGAACAACAAGGTGAATCATGTTGAAGTAAATATAACGGATCCTCCTTCATCTGCGTCATTCTTCTTCAGTCACACAACAACATATCTAAGACCGATTGTATTCTCTGCTTCTGTGGGAGCTACATACATGTCCTCAGACCTCAGAGGGTTAATGACAATTTGTTTAATTCAAACGTTGAGGTGTTTATCTTATTCCTACATCAGTATATCACTTGTCTCCAGCTCAGTCACATAACCTGCCAGCTTTGTATCATCAGCCCGTCGCTGGACAAGTGACACACTCAGCTGGTTATCAGTCCCTCTCACTGGTCTCCACCTTTAACGTGTGGAAACACGTTCACTACTTTTACGGATTGTGGGGTTCGTGCTGTGATCACCAGGTGACAGGAACATTTTAATGATCCTCGAGCCATTTTACTCGCATTTGTGTGGCAGAGCACAACAAATATTGTAAATATTAAGTTTTGAATTTACAAAATAAGCTGAAATACCTCTGGAGGATCTTCTCTGCTTCCACCCTGCTGATATCCATTCCCAGATCCGCCAGGGATTGCTTAATCTCCAAGTAGTCAATTCGACCTGTGGAAAATAAAAACAGAAATCCTGATGTTTCCCACATGCTGAGGGAGAATAATTCAGTGTCACCAACATGGCAGGTTTATAAATTCCCAGCATTCAGCTGGTGAACTTGAACATGAAGTTTGTCGGGATCAGAACACTTCACCACACCATCGTTGTTTTTGTCCAAGCTCTTGAAGGTCAGCCGCAATTTCTTCTCGTGATCCTTTAGGTACTTGGAAAACTCGCTGAAGTCGAGCCCTTCATCGCTGTCTTTGTCTCCTGAAGAAACTATTTTCTGAAAATAAAGAAGAGAATCATCAGTCCAGTTTCTTCATATGTCAAACAATATGTGAGTCAGGTCTCTGCTGACCTGTTCACTGAGTGAACATCTCCACCTCAGCTGCTCCTTTCGGCCAGTTGGTGGCAGAATAACGCTGAGAAATCCCTCAACTCACTTCCTGTGTAAACCTCCAGACTTGACCTCATTATCTGTCATTATCTTCATTCATAGTTTGTGCTGCTGCTGTGATGTTATTTTTGCTTTTTCCCTAATTTGTAAAGTGATCTGTGCAGTAAATATAGATTGTGTTTGTTTGTAGAGTTGCTGCATTTAATTTTACTGTCTTGTACATGATGTTAAATGTGCTGAATCACGGAGATCAGACGAAACATAAACCTCTGTGTAACTGTTCAAATGTATCGGGTATGTTCAGGGCGTTGATCTGTATGAGTGTGCAATTAAGATCCAAATAAAAATGCGTATCTCATGAATTAAAATGTGGTTTCAAGGGAAATGTTAATAATTAGTATTATGCGAATACATTATGATGTTAATAGTTAACTTAGTTAATTATAGATAACAAGGCAGTTGTAAAAGCACGTTTATTTACGACCTCTTCATTTCATTATCAAACAGTTGCATGGGTTAAAAAAAGCTTGACCTCCTCGTACCTTCCTCCCTGACTCATACTTTTAAAGTTATCAGACTCACTGATGAGACAGAGGAATGCAGCATTATATGGTTACTGAAGGTGGGACCGTCCGCAGCTCACACCTACGACTGCAGATTCAACTTTGGCCCACCTTTTCTTCACCCACCCTGCTCTCTTGGGAAAACTGAATGAGAAAAGCCTGAGGAAATCGAGGTCATTGGTTTGAGGACCCAGTCTGTCACGGATTTAGCTGCACAGGGTGGTGTTTTCCGAAGGAACATATGTTTTCATATGTTTGAGGACCATTTGGGGAAAACGGGGACATTTTGGCTGGTCCTAACTTTCAGACCCGCGTCCAATGGGCTGTTTGGGGGGTAAGACTTGGTTTCACAGTTACGTTAGAATTAAGTTAGTATTAGGATTATAGGGTCAGGGGATAAAGAACACATCTTGCCTATGTGTGTCCTCAGATACAAGTAAAAGGTTGTGTGTGTGTGTGAGTGTGTGTGTGTTCCAGGTATAACTAAAGTTGTGGGGACCTAACTTTATTTACACTGTCACATTATGTGCAGTTACCTCCCTTGTATGTGTGTTTGTGTGTTAGTGTGTGTGTGTTCAAGGTATAACTCCATTTGTGGGGACCTAACTCTGTTTACACTGTAATTACCTTCCTTATGGAGACAAAAACCGAGTCCTCATAACTTGTTGGGTTCTTCTATCATTCTTAGGGCTCATCCTTACTGTGTAAAGTGTCTTGAGATAATAGCAGATAGACAGACAGACACATATGATTTGAATCTGTACAAATTAAATTGAACTGGACATAAATCATTAAATTCAAAAGTGAATGTTAAAGAGTAAGCAACATAAACCCTTATCCTGAGGTCATGGACACAGTGTGTGTGTGTGTGTGTGTGTGTGTGTGTGTGTGTGTGTGTGTGTGTGTGTGTCTCTCCGTGGATGTACCTGGGCTGCTCCTCTCCCAGTCTTGATGCCCATGGCGGCCAGTCCTGCCTTCAGCTCGGACACATCCACCTTCCCATCCTTGTTCGTGTCCAGTTTGGAGAACAGAGCCTCGTACGAGCTCGACTCATCTGCACAGCGACAGTCCGTGAAAAACATCTTCCTCACCGCCTGATACATGGTTACAGACGTGGAGGCCTCCGGAGCTGCACACACAAACTAACACACACACACACACACACACAAGCGAGCACACACACACAAACACACACACACGCTCACGCGCGCACACGCCAATTCCTGTGGTTGGCACTTCTGGTTCGGAGCAGCCGGAGGATTCGAGGCAGATTCCCGCAGAGCAACTGAGAGAGAAGTGGCGGAGGAGTGGTCCCCGGTGGTGGTGGAGGTGGATCCGGTAAATACTGGATCTTCAGCGGGCTTGTAGGAAGCAGGAGGCGGATGAAGTTGGTCGAGTAAATGCGCCGAGGAGAAAAAAAAAGGGTGGAGAGACTTTGCCTGAGGAGACCTCCTCTTTCAGTGTGCACACTCATCACAGGGACACACCCTTCAACACACACAGACACACACACACACACACACACACACACACACACACACACACACACAGTGTTGGTGCTCGAACTGGTCAAAAAGTTTGACTTTGAAGTTTCATTCAACGTCTTATTCTTTCCATGTAGTTCATACACTTCCTGTTGTTGTGGTAACACACACACACACACACACACACGCACACACACACACACACACACACACACACACACACTGTCCATCCCTGCCCCCACAGGGGGCTCCATGGTTTAAAGTTAAAGTGAATCTGTTTCAGTTCAGTGAGTCACACAGGAATCTGACAGCTGCTCCTGACGGAACTCACCCCCAAAAAGATTTTAAATGGGGGGGGGGGGTTACTTTACTTTGAAGGAGACAGGAAGAAGAGAGGTGGATTGGGAAGGGAAGGAGGAGGGGGGCTATTATATTATTAATCTATAAACAAACTAATTAATTACGTCTTTGAATAAACAAGGTAACAGAAAATAAAAAGTAAGATAGGAACAATAACAACAATGATCATTACTGTTGTTGTAATAAACAACAAGTTGAGAGTCAGAGAAGTGTCTGCTTTGTTCCACATGATGGCGACAGATGTTATGTAACAGCAGCTGGTTTCACTTTGTTGTTGTCTGTGCTGCTGTTGTCATGACTGATCAACAGGGGGCGATGTAGAGGTCCTATGTCATGACGTAAAAAGAAAGTGAATGGAGAAGAAGTGTAAAAATCACAAAGTTTCTCCCAAATGCTCAAGAGAAGCTGATGAAGATGAATCTGCTGCTGGAAATGGTTCCTGAGAAAAGTCCTGTTTCCTGTTGTATGAAAAGCATTTGTTGAAATTGCCTGTGTGCAGCTGTTTTAGGAAATGAAACCATATTTGTTGCCTCAGATCTCAGGAGGAGCAAATAAGGGTGCTACAGATGAGACAATGTTTTTGGTCTTTGACAATAAGAAAACTGCTGATTGATAAAAGACATAAAGACTCAAACATCACTGAGCCAACAAGTTAGAAACATTTATTGTCGATATTTATATAATGTACAAAAAAGCTTCTATTGTGCACATCACAACAGAATAGAAACAGTGATGATGAAAATTAAAAAGCTGATGAGCGAAGCAGGCTCACAGCCGAGTGCTTTAAGTTACGTTTACATTCAGCCACACTGCCGAGTCCCGGCACCACGAAGCTCTGAAGAACAACCACCATCAGAAAAGCTCAAAATCGAAGTTTTCATGCTTTGCAGTAAAAACAAGAACGAAATGAATAAACAGCTGTTTTATGGCACTTTCTCTTTTCCTCCTGTTTGGGAAGATAAACATTCAAAGGAAAAGTATGTGACGGGTCCTGATGGGACGGTTGAGATAAATCTTTAACGGTAGAAAACGATTATCTCTTTTTTTATTAATCAGCTGGGAAACGCGGCTCAGGCTCCTGTTAATGTCCTGAGAGCTAGTTCCTCCCTCGTGGTTCCATCTGCCAACGAAATCAGATGGATTGAACACGCATGCATCGGCCTATCAGAGAGTACAGAGGCCTCACAGGAGGCAGAATACAAACACGATCACCATTTATAAAATAACAGTAAAAACCATGAGAACAATCACAGCGCAAAGGTTTTTCTTTCTTTTTTTTAAACGACAGCTATTCACCACAGAAAACTTAATTTACAAGGAACAACAGCTCGTTTCTGTCCGGTACAGTTAAACTGCAGTTTATTTAGTCACGACATTTGGCTACAGACCCTTCAAACACTTCCACTAACTACTTCAGAGTTCAACTGAATACTTATCCTCATAGTAACGTCAACATCTTTGTCTGACATCAACATAGTACTGGCAATAATAAGGCTCCAACTCCCATAATCCACACCGGAGGAAATCGTCTATAGATACACCGAGAAAACAAAAACTGAGATTGTCTTAATGTTTGAAATGAAGGTTGAAGTGAACCAGAGGTCGACGATTGTTCAGCCCTTTCCCCCCCATCAGCTGATGAGACAGGGCCCCCTTATGGCTGCTGTTAGGACCTGCATTGTTATTATTGCAGGTCGGACTGAAAACAGAGACGCAGCAGAACAACAGGATGATACAGTTTCTGGTCAGCCCTCAATTCTCTTCTCTCTCTGGACTCAGCAGAAAAGATATTTAAATTTGCAGGTCAAAAGACGTCTTCATATCAAGGTTACAAATAAAATGGATCTTCAAACATTTCTTCCTCATAATATCAGCGACGATATTTCAATGTCAAACACTGAAATAAAATCAGTGAAATCCATTTTAAGCATTTCTTTAATTTCCCACAGCTCAAATTAAAGTCATCGAATTGTTTGTCTCGACTGATCCAGTTCAAAATCAATGTGATTTATTAAGAACCTCAGAATAACCACGTACTAGACCTGTGGTGAGATGTAAAGAAAATTAAACTTGTGACTTTTGTAGTTTCTAAATTCTGGGTCTCGCTGTAACTAATGTTCAGAAATTATAAACAGGAGTAAAAACTAATCGCTCAATATAATAATTTATTTTTAGACTCCGTACTTGACGTCTTTTAAACCTGCAAACAAAATGTATTGTGTGACTTTAACTGAACTGAGAAGATGTGCTTCTCTATTATTATAACAACTTGTGTGTCTTTATGAAGGAAATGAAGAATAATGTTGTGTAGTTTTGCAGTTTAAGTTAAATGACTTCTGTCTTTGGAGAAATGAGAAATTCAGTAAAATCTACAGGAGATTTTTTTAAAAAATCAACATTGAAGTAGAAATGACTTTTTACAGTTCATTTCCACTTTTCTGCTGAAAAATCAAATGCAAAATGAATCTGTCGAACATGAAAAGTAAAAGCATTTTATCATGTGATCTACAATGATGAATAAATGTTCAGTAGCAGTTTAATTAAAAACACTAATTGTTTCGCTCGTCGTCAACACAGACAAGTTAAAGTACTTTGAAGGCCTCCAGGTTAAAAACACTGATTTAGTCCTTAGCATCATAAAAGCACTTTGTCAAACCCTTTTCTTTACTTTGCAGTTTCGTTTTTTAAACAAATCATCAAGAGAAGCTAAAAATACTTGTTTTGTGCGTAAAGGCACTTTTGGAGACACAAAGTAGAGTCAAACGTTTTCAGGGTTTTGTGGTTGAGTTGGACCAAAGGAAACATTTGCAGTGACATCGGTTGCAAAGCTAACGCAGCCTTCGCAAACAGATACGGCCGTGCAAAATAAACTCAGAGAGGAGTCAATTAATTCATCTTTGGAATGAGAGAATCCCCCCCCCCAAGAATAAGGTCACCCTTCAAAAGTGAAATCCATCTCAGTGTGCTTGTTTTAAATGTAAGTAGAGCGACACCTACAGAAAGATAAAGATACTGCAGCTCATTAGAAGAAGAAAAACCCTCCATGTATTTTTTAACTTGGCCCCTATGTTTAAAAATGTGGGGGAGTAAATGAATCATACTCACAAAAACATATGTCTCTGCCGGCAGCTGTGACACGTGGCGGTTCAATGTACTCTAATGGGGCAACTGTGACAGTCTATTCATATACAAATTATTTCACCAATAAAAGGCTGAAATTGTTTTTCTGGGTCTCCTGAGAGAAACTTTTATGTCTCCATCTTTTTCTGATCGTGGACGATGTAGATGAAGCATTTGACTTCGATACTCGTCCCTAATTTGAGCCTTTTATTGGTGTAAAAAAAAACGTTTCTTGGACTGTCGCAGTTGCCCCATTAGATAACATTGCAGCCACTACCACTTGTTGCTACTGGTGGAGACAATCCACTGGACCTATTTCTAAAAGTACCATTCATTCATTCACCATACAATTGTTTTTCAAAAAGTGCTGTGACGTTTCAGACCTTCACTTAAACCAGTACGATGTTGAAGCTGCTGAAGAAGCTCAGCTTCTAAAAGTGACAGTAAAAATCAGTAATACAGCGCTTTTAAGCAACAGCTCTTAGTTAAACACTAAAAGTTCATTAAAAAAAATCCAAAAAATCCAACAATCAAAACACAGATTTCTCACAGAAAAGAGTTCGTAAACAAAACCACATGGACGATAAATGCAGTTTCATGCAAGCAGTTAAACTTGTGACCAAAGCATCACAGGTTCGTTGACATTTTCTGTACTAGCGGCTGTTTTACATCTACAGACGCTCTGATCTGAAAGGCGTCTTCTTCTTCTTCTCTGACGTCGTCAGTGCTGAGATTTAAAAAGAGGTTTGTGGTCGTCGGCAGAAATCTCAGCACTGCACAAACATCCAAAGAAGACGCTTTTGAGTCAAGCATCCAACCCTGGTATGTTTTTTACTCTTTTTTACTTTTTGGCATTTTCACATAACCGTAGAAAATATGTCCTTCTCATAAACACTGATTTGTCCTGTTGAAGTCGGGTGAAACTTCTCTAGGTTCCCCAGTCTGCTCGTCTTCAACGCCCTTTATATTGTTTTTCAGTCACATATCACACAGGAGACGAAGGCTTGTATCATCAGTGAGTTATAATACTTTCATTCACATTCACTCTTCGTACGTCTTGTTCTCCGTGGGAAGAAACACAGAGGAACGATGAAGGGTTCCTTTTTTAACGCTGATGTGAGCATGGACCCAAACCTTCATTTGAGGTTTACTGTACATCATCACCTCAAATTAAGGGTCAGTCCAGCTGCTTTGCACCTTCATAAAACCAACAAGGGACGAATTAAAAGCTCCCAAAACACTACATTTCCCACAATGCTTCTCATCTCTGCATCTTTTAAACCCTGTGCCCTCAGTTTGTAACGCTTATAGAGCCAAGTAACAGTGACGCCCACTTTTAGAACGACTCTGGTTCCTAAAGTAAACTTCCCATTCTTTTTCTTCATTTACATTTATATAAAAACATATTTATAAAAAAAATGTTATCCGGTCGAAAGGTAACAGGTACAAGACTGTGAAGAAGAGAGAAAGAACTGTTTCCCATAAACCATTGCGAATGATCTATTTCCCTTAATCTCACCTTGTTATTAATATACTGTTGTGATATATTATTTTGTGTCTTGTATGTTTGTATATAGTGCTTCATATAATGTAGTAACTCAACGCTGAACAATCCAATCACAGCCGACTTGATTTTTGCGGTTGTGGTCAACATTTCTATGGTAACAGAGAGCTACACCAATAAGAGACACTACTACTACACCTGAGGATTGTGGGTAGTGTAGTGTTTCTTTGATTTGTCAATAAAACATAGTTGACTTGTTGCTTCTCCAGGAGAACATAACTTTGTTTCACAATCTCGTAGCGATTATAGTGAGTCTACCTCAGATGGTTAAAATGTTTCGGCTGCCCAGAACATGAATGTGATTTCTAAGACTTCACACAACAGATTCCGGAATATGATCAGTTCTCAACCGGATGAATTATTCGCTCTTTAACGTATTTACATTAGAGCCATTAGCGTTTTGTCTTTAAATCTAAGCGAAGCAGCAGCTGTGAACCCTGTAAAGGTATTACAGTCGGACATGTATGTAAAGACGAGGTGAAGCTGGAGGACGAATGTATGAACCGTCACTGAGAGAGGACGCACACGCTGCAGAGACTCTGCAGTAACACACTGGTCCCTCGGCGCTGAGCAGCAGCCGACACTGTAGCACCAGACGATGTCAACACGAACACGTTATTTACAGAGGAATGAGCATGTTGCTTCTGCACGATTCAGCCCAACAAGACACTAGATTGATTCCTCAGTCACGTCCTTCGAAAAAGTCGAAGGAAGTTAGTTTGACTTCAGCTGATCCGGGTCAGAGGTCAGGACGTGAAGTTTCTGGTTATTTGGCACCCTATTTAGTATTTAGTCGTGTTTCATGGGGTCAAGGTAGGTCAGACCTGGTCAATTTCCATCGTGGTGTCGTCCGGGTACGGGTTGGGGTATGGGTTGAGGAACGGGTTGGTGAGGCTGGTCATCGGGACGAGGGTGGGCGGCGTGGTAGTGGTGGCGTCAGGTCCAGTGGTGGGAGTGGCGTCCCCGCGGGTGGCGCTCAGGTGGCCGGGGTCTCGGCCTGCAGGCTGGACATGCGGATCTGCGAGCTGCTTTTGCTCAGGATGGACAGCTGCGTTCCCCCGTTCACCCCACTGCTCGCCAGCGAAGGATGCCGGTGCTTCAGGTCCACAGCAAAGTACCTGTTCACCGTCCAGCTGCGCCATTTCCTCTTGATCTCCGATTGCACCTTGAGGGATATACTTCACAAGGTCATTATTAATGGACATCGCTGGAAAGAGACACACTCACTGTACTGACGGCTCATTGCTTTCAGTTTTTATGGTTTTCTATCAAATGTCAAGATTTTTTACCTGAATTTTATTTCCACACAAAACGTTTTGTTCGAATAATTTGAACTTTAGAAATGAAGGATAAATAATAAGGAAATATTAAAATGGATGAGATCTAAGATCTAAGTTTTCATCATATTTGTGGAAACTCAATCACAGGGAATATTTTTGGTTCAGATATTAAGATTTGAAATATTCATATTTCTTTCAATTCCAGAAACTGAAAATAATGAGCCTCATTAAATCACTAATTAAATCTCTACCTTATACTCATGCTGTGGAGCAGTAATGTTGTTTCTGTATGTTTAATCAAAATGTGCATCGAGATGACTGTGAGAAAAGTATCAGTGACTTGTTTTAAAGGGGATTTACCTCTCCATTCAGGAAGCAGTAGAGGACGGCCACCACAAAACCCTGCAGAGACGAGAGAGAGACAGAAACACAAAAATATTGTCACATAAAGGACAACTTCACTTTCTGAGGTTGAAGGATCCTTCACTGCACAGACTGAAAAATGAAATGTTGACGGTGTGATTCCCACCAGGTCCAACTCAAGTCCAAAGTGCAAAACGCTCTGAAGTCTAAAACTCAACCCTCCATCTTTCATCGGTACAAATATCTCAGGATGAAGAAGAGGAGCCACACACATAGAAGACGTCAACTTGGAAAGACGAGGAGATTTCAGAGCTTTTGGTGATAAGGGTCTGACCCAGAGGATCTGGAGTTCATGTCTGAAAACAGTCTCAAATCTCAACTCTACACTTGTGTCCTGAATAATCCTCAACTGGCTTGTTATGTTGCATTTGTCCTATTTAAGCCATGACGCAGAAAGAGTCACCTGGAAGGATCCGAGTCCGAGTTCAAACACCAGACGCTCCCGCTTGCTCACGTTCTCCGGGGAAAAGGCAAACACAGTGTAGTGGATCCCAAACAGAGGAATCAGCAGCAGAGTGGAGCGAGCCAACCTCCTGTGCAAGAACACACACACACACACACACTGCCGTGAGAGAACTGGACAGTCCTCATTATATCAGGTCCGGGGGGACAAATTAAAAGAATGAAAAAAAGTGTAAATGGTCAAATATAAAAAAAGATATGTTTCAATTAAAGGGAACGTTTTTAGAATAAATACAATGAGGCACTAAAACATATGTTCAATATAAGTTCAAGAAAATGCTCAAACACGTTTCTCACAGCGAGCATCACTCACAGGTAAATACTGGACTCGTTCCCTCCGATGTCTGGAGACTGTAGCTTCTGCACGAGGATGACGATGATTCCGATGAAGAGAACGAAGTTTATCTGTGGAGAAAAATACATATCATTTAATTTAATTTAATCTTTTTTTTTATCAAAGTCAAATTCTTGGTAAAAGTGGTGATGTTTCTCCAACGCACCATGATGGAAGCCAGCACGGGTCCCTTTATCACCCACCAGATGGCAGCGTCGTCGTTCATGTCCCAGCAGCTGTGAGACAACATTCAGCAATAAACACACAACCTTTCGACGAGAGGCCGCACACGCGTGTTCTGTGTTCTCAACTCACCCGATATTATCGAAGTGCAGCCGCAGCACCGCCCAGATGGTCACGCACACGGTGGGCGTCCCTGATTCAAACAAAGACACAATCACTAACGGCTGAGGTTGATCAGATGAGAATCAGATGAGGATGTGTGTGACGTCTCACCCCAGCCGATGATGATGTACCAGTAGAAGTATCTCTTCTCAGGGAAGAAGGTCTCCACCAGTAACGTGAAGAGGTACAGGCCCTCGATGAAGAGCCAGAAGTAGTTGGAGAGGACGCAGTAGTGGAAGAATATCATAACCGCTCGACACTCCAGCTTCACCGAGATAGAAACAACACATGAGATAATCTGAACTTGGGGCCTGAAAGGTTTGAGCTGTGTCGTCTCTCACCGTGTGGATGAAGCAGTGCTCGCTGTCCTCTTTGGCGTACAACACGCCGTCTTTGATGAAGACAGAAATGGCTCTCAGGATGAACGACACAAACAAGTTCATGTGGATGAAGTTCCTGGTGCAGTGCAGCTTCCTGAGAACAAACACACACTTCATTTATTTTTTGTATGTTTTCTAGCAGTGACAGAGGGGCAGAGAGAACTGGGGACGACATGCAGCAAGAAGGGGAATCAAACCTGGACCGCTGCTATTTCTTTATTTTCACAAAAGAAATAAATGACCATGTGATAATAATTGTAGTAATAGTAGCAGTAAAAGAACAAGTAGATAATTGAAGTATATATAATAGTATGATACCAGTGATATTAGTCCAGTGGTGGTGGTAAACGTGGTAACAACAATACTAGTAGTGGTGGTAAAGATAATTTATTTCTATTTAAAGTAATATAATATCATAAAGTATAAAAATATAATCAATGCATTTCTATAATATTTAAAATTACTGTATTATTATTATAATTAACTACACTTAAAATACATAGGGGACTATACACATGAGCAAGAGTAAGTTATTGTTTTTATTAATATTATAAAGTTCAGCTGATTTAAACAGCAGCTTTCAAAAGACACGAAGTTCTTTAGAAGTCACAAATGAAGATCACGTATTAGATCATCACAATATATAAAACAAATCAAAATAAATACATATATATCACTGATAGAGTTGAAATGGTTTTGATTGATGTGAAGAACATCGTCATTCAACTGAGACAGAACACCAAGTTTATCAGATGAGTTTTTCATTTCATGTGTGTTGAACGTTGTGTTTTCAGTTTGAGTCTCACCTGAACCTGCAGAGGATGACCATGGCTGTGGTGAGAGAGACCAGAGAGGTGCTGTAGCCGACCGTGTACAGAGCCTTCACCGACACGTAGTACATGTCCTGAACACGGAACACAACAACACCTGTGACTCATTTCACTCAGGTTTTATTCTGTCATTCACAATTGGTCAAACACGTGTATGACATCGAACGTTCACGATGGCAACATCTGTATCCAGAACATTTTAGCTTTTTTTAGAGCAGTGGGAGGAAGTGTCATCTTTATAGCAGTCTGTGGTCAGACGTGGATTAAACCATGACTTCACTGGTCAACAGATGCGAAACCAGGAAGCAGCTTTTCCAGTGGAAGTTTGAATAACGAATTAACTCCTCATTTAAACCCTGAAACAAACATCTGGAGACACAGAGGTGCACTAACCGGATGGCTGCTGTTTCCCTCCTCGTACAGACAGGCGTCGATGTAGTGAGGGAAGGTCTCGGACCAGCCGAACTCACTGCAGTTGCGACTCACCTTCCCCAGCTCTGTGGATACGGAACAATTCATCACAGCAATCACAAGGTATGACTTATCCATACCGAATACACAGTGATACTTTATTCTAGTTTCCACATTCAGACGCTGAAAACTCACGGAAGTCTTCCTCGCTCATGAACTGAGAGAAGAGTTCGGGACAGTTGACCTCGACCACCTCACCGATCTTCGCCGGCTGCCAACACGTCAGGTTGTCCCACATCCACGGACAACCTGAAGACAGGTGGACAGACACAGCGTCTCATTCTAACAGATTCATGCATTTTATATTTTTAGTATTTTGTTGTGTACTTCCTGTTGCCAAATCTCAAATGAAGCACTAGCATGACAGTCGTGTATGTTTACATGGACGCCAGTATTCTGATATTAACCTAATCTCTTTCTCTTTCTCTGCAGACGAGCAGGTCAGACTCGGCTCCTGCTCATTAGTGTGAACGCCCTAAAGACGTTCTCGTTATCTTGTGTTTATTCTAATTAGCTTCAGTTTAAAACTGTTGGAAAACATCAGCAGAATTATGTTTAATAAACAAACGCAGACGCTCACGAAGACATACCGAACTCTGGATCGTTCCCGGGATCGTCCGAGGCCATCATCTCCAGACATTTTTCCTGCTCCCTCTTGATCACACAGTTAGAGGGAACCTGCTGGCTCCAGACCTGGAGAACACACACACACACCACAGAGAGAGAGAGAGAGAGAGGGATTGAAGAGGCTTTAGATTACATCAGAGCAGAGAGGAAGGACCTGCAGTTAAATTGGCTTCATTAGCTTCAGTGTGCGGTTCACACCACAGTGGGAGAAGGTCTCCGCTCTGGGATCAGTTTAAACTCTCAGCCAATTAAACAAACCATTTCAGAGCTGGAGGGACGCACCAACATACAAACCTACGGACAGAAGAACTGAAAACTGTCCGTCACTAGCGTGAAGGCATTTCAGTGTTTCTTCTAATCAATGTTGTAAATACTGTTATGTTGCTGATGTTCTCAGTTACACGCAGCATCTGTCGCTCCTGGAAGACGGATCCTCACATGTGACTCTCTGAGGTTTCTATGTTTTGTCCCATGTTAAAAGGCTGTTGGTCATTTTGACGGTTAAGAACAGAGGATGTCGCACCTTGTTGAGTCCGATCAGTGAATGTGGGCTGTGCAAATAAAATTGGATTGATTGATTGATAACAAGGCACTTTTCACCCTGGACCATGGCAGGTGTTAGTCCTGTCAGTTGAGAACGACTGACACATAGAGAGAACAATGGCTGCCAGAATTCCAGAGCTACAACTCCAGAGTTCACGTCCAGAGGAGCCTCCTCCTGCACAACGCTGGGTCTCAGGAGGATGGAGGGGAGGAGGGGGGGTTCTGCTATGGTTCTTGTGTCTGTGCTGGCGTCAGTCTGGGAGACGCCACGTCACCTCTTTATGAGGTGCAGCGGGGGAGCAGTTGAACGTTTATGCCGCTGACGTCGGCAGCAAGAATTCATACACTGAAGATTTACGAGAGCAACAGAGACACAGTAGTTTTGGGGCATCGTGCGGAACAAGTGTCGACTCAGTCTCTGAATCCACAGAGATTGTGGGATGATTAATGTGCTGCGCTCTCGGCAACGGCACCGTTACGCAGTAGTAGAACACAGATGCAGGTACGATGCAGTAAAAGCACAGATGGATGAATTGAATGATTGAGTCATCAGACAACGAATGAATGATTCAATTAATGTGGATGTTGTTCCCTCTTAAAATACATGTTAGACAGTGAATATTACAGAATGTGGAAGTAAAAATATTCACATCCATGATGAATTATGAGTAATTGCTTGCATCAGTCTTTAAAGCTGCTCTAACAGATCAAATAGAAAATCCATATAAATTCTGCTAATGCTGCTCCACACCAACAGCCACTCACTCGTCAGGTTTCATTTCATCCGGGTTTCATCCGGCCTCTCTCTGATCTTCCAGCCCTCTTCCCCTTGATTGTTCGGTAGAAATCACAAACTCTGATCATATTTACCGCTGCTGTCCAGATGTGAACCGTGTGTATGAGATTCATGTCCCTTCAGTTTATATCCTGTTTGTCTGTCTCACAGTGCGGGACGTCACTGTCTCATCACAACCTGAGACATTCTGCAGTCTGTTGCAGCATCGAACACGAGAACAAGACACGAACCAGCCACAGCTTCAGTCCGAAAGAAAGGTGACTTTTGTTCTTCCGTCTCTCCGTCTCTCTCTGTCTCTGTGTCCATCTTAACTGTGAAACGTTGACTTTAATCTGCTGCGTATTCCTATTTTCCATCTTCACTCTCTGCCTGACCCCCCACCCCCCCACAACCCCACAAGGACAAGATGGATTTCATTGGCTAAGTTCTTAATATCTGTATTCCAATCACCTTTCCCCTTGATGAATCAAGCTGCAAAAAATNCACCCCCTCCCCTTCGTTCACCATCTTCTTCTTTCTCAGACAACACTTCAGCTCAGAGGTGATGACTCACGTTTAACTACAGCAATAAAAGATGGAGGAGAGGAGAGGAGAGGAGAAGAAGAGGTAGAGGAGAGGAAGGTGAGAGTTGAGGAAAAGGAAGAGGAATGAAGAGGAAGAGGTAGAGGATGAAGATGTTTTCCCTCCTCACTGTTAAGCAATGAATAAATAAGTAAGTGCATCTTTATCCATCGTTCCTGCTCCACACTGATCAGTGAATTATTGATGAACACACTTGGTAACTTTAACAATCACTGTATCTCAGGCCTGAATCCCTGAATTCATTCATGTGACGCTCCACCTGTTGTCTCGTCTGTTTCAGATGCACTCACTCACACAGTGGATTCAAAGGTAAAATAAAATGAATTTAAATCAACGTACCGTGGAGACGTGGAGGAGGAGAAAGAGGACCAGCAATCTGACATCAGACGGAGACATTTTGTGTTTCCTGGACTCCTGCAGCTCAGAGGAACACAACAGGCCGTCACCTGGAGGTGTGAAAATACAGAAACATGTGGGATGTTAAGAGGCAGGACGTCTGTTCACCTGTTCATATAAAGTTTAGCGAAGCTGGACTCATTACAGAACTTGAACTGGAGAACGCAGTGAAGACGTCACTGCTACAGAGTACTGGGCATCTGCTTATTCAGAGCTTGTTAATATTCAACCAATCACGTGTCAAAATGGCACCGGATTCAACACTTTCTTGTGTCCTCAACAATGACGTCACGTGTGAAAGCAAGAAGACGATCAGTTGTCAAGATGCGTTTCACCTACAGACAGAGATTTCTGGAATCATTAGACGGATGCTGAAGAAATACAGGATGTCTGGTGTTTTTTTTTTTATTTAAAATAAAATATAGTTTATATTCCACTCATGGTTTTACTCATGGCAACAGGAAACCATTGCAAATACATCGTTAGCCTATAATGACAACTGTATGTGAACACAAGCATGTCATGTTGTGTGTCTGTGTCCTCGTACACGCTGCATGACTCTGCAGGCCCGGAGGGTTTCGCCTGAGTGAAGCCAAGTAGCAGGACTGGACGCTCGGGCATGGTCCCACAGGGAGAACTTGGCAGCTCGGAGTTCCTACTCCAGCAAAACCCTGCCAGCAACAAGCCCATCCCACCGTCGTCAAGAGCAACAGCTGAGCGAGCCGCTGAGTTTGGATCTGAACTGGACCACGTGGACCTGGATCCCCCTTCTGCTCCGTCTGTACTCCCTGAGATTTCATCATGTATCGTAAAAAAACAATAAGATTGATTATATTTTACTGCTTTACCTTCCTCAGTTAGTGAAGTTTGGGATTATTGGCTTTAAAAAATAAAGTAAAATACCTAATTATATTAAGAGCGAAAGAACTACACTTCCCATAAACCATTGCAATTCACCCATTTGATTTTTTTTACTTGCTTTTCCTCATTTGATCAAAGCCGACATGATTTTCACAGCTGTGGTATGAATTTCCATGGTAACAGCGAGCTCCACCAATTAGAGAAAACACTATTTCACCTGAGGATTGTGGGTAATGTGCTACTTCTGCTTGACTTAGAGAAAAAAAACATGTTTTTCTCAAACGCAGTTGATATCATCCAGACTTGTGGCTTCCACAGGAGAGAATAAGATCGTTTCACAGTCTCCCAACTTGTGGTGAGTTAAAATACTCTAGCTGATAATCACAATCACTATTCAGAGAATGAAGGGATTCTTACTTCAGGAACCACAACGTTCTTTTTCTGTCGAAACTGTGGAATCACTTTTCTACTTGTGCTCGGAATATGAAAACATCAGAGCTCTGCACAAACACACAACCTTCATTCATATTTTGCTGGAGTGTGTAGCAACAAGTTACTGAGCAACACACACACACACACACACACACACAAATAACAAAGCGAGACACAACATGAATGGGAGTCTGCAGCTTTGCCAAGGTCTCCATAATGGCTGCTGACGCTTCCACAGAAGAGCTTTCATGTTGGGTTTTCGAGCTCAAACTTCCATTAATTCATTTCTGGAGAAACATGTTGCAAACCATCACACTACTGATGGTATCTCATCTTGACCAGAGTGTGTGTGTGTGTGTGTGTTTGTGTGTGTGTGTGTGTTGGAGGCTTCAACTGACACGCTGCTCATTCACCAGGGACTTTGGGGGACCCAGGTAAAAGGGACGTGGGTGTCCCTTCATCAACTCCCACCCCCCACATAAACCAAACCACATTCTTTTATTTTTTTTAATAAATTTTTTTTTTAAAGAGTAAAATATAGTGTATTTGTATCCTTGTGTAATAAATGAAGGCCTCATTCACTATTGCTATTTATGTTATCTTTTATTATCAAGTCCGGAGGTGTGTGCTTATCCAGCTGATGACAGCAACACCTATGGGTGGGATGAGTCTATTTCCTGAACAACACCTGAGCGTCTCCGACTTCTCTTGTAAACATATAGAAAGTTCAGTTTACTCTCAGGATTTCTTAACGTTTAAGAAAGAACATATTCAAGGGAGCAGATGACAACTTTGAAAACCCTTAGTTTACATAGTGTGTGTGTGTGTGTGTGTGTGTGTGTGTGTGTGTGTGTGTGTGTGTGTGTGTGTGTGTGTGTGTGTGTGCATTAGCGCAGCAGCTGCTCAGGACTCTCCTCCCCGAGCTGTAATCAGTGGCTTAATGAGTCTCAGCGGCTTTCATGTTCAACACTGTCAGCCCGAGACTGTGTAACGTTTGAAGCTCCGTAGAAACAGCACACACGTGATTAAAGAAACACACACACACACACACACTCTGGACGCTGATCTGATCACACTAATAAATACTTGGCTTCAGTGTGAAGTTGAACCCAAGAGGAGGAAATTAAAAAAGAGGAGAGAAAAAAAGCTTCCTGAGAAATATGAGTGGGTGTTTGAGTGGAGAGGGTTGAGTCCTCCCGGGACAAAACAAGAAGAGGCGGGTGTTTCTTAAAGACCACTCACCTGAGACGCTGCCGAGATAAAAAACAGGAGCTGACTCGCATCGTTAGAAAGCAAAGAAAAAGGGAAGAAATGGAGGAAAAAGGTGGAGGAAAGAGAGATTAGGATCTGCCTTGATGTTTGTCTTCGTGTTTGCTTTTGGTGGGACACTGGGAGCTGTTTTGTCCCTGGGGACATGTCTGGCTTTGACAGCTGTCGTGGCCTAAAGAGTGAAGGCATGCAGCAGCTTATCTCCACTAAGGCCTTCAACCCAAACTCCTTTCCTCTCTCTGCCTCATCAGCCACATCTGAGGGACACTAACCACCGGTTTCCTCTGAAGAATCAGAGAATAAAAGACGATCCACGTCTCCCGGACGCTTCCAGTCCAGAATCATTATCTAATGTGATAATCCAGCGCTGGATCGTCTAATTCCCACAGAATATCACACCCAGTCACTCAAGTCTAAATTTAACCCAAGGAACTATGGGAGGAATTAATATACACAGACATGACTTAGTCTTCATTAGTTTGGGGAGAGAGAGGGAGGCACACATATCACAGAGAGAGAGAGAGAGAGAGAGAGAGAGAGAGAGAGAGAGACTGTCCCGGTTTCTTGCTCCCATTATGTCCCATTTTTTCCCACAATCCACTGGGGAGCCGCATAGTTACGAAACGGAGGCAAAGACATTTTAGAGCAAAGAAAATAAGAAGAGAATTGAAACAACATCAGGAGCAGTGAAACAGCTGGATACCAAGAACTGTGTCTGACGTAATCGCCTACGTGGGCTGCGTCTACCTGTGCTTGATTCTGAGGGGGGGGGGGGGGCAGGGGGGGGGGGGGGGGGTAGTCTTTCTGTTTGATGGAGAACATGAATGAAGTGCTTCATCTGGTTGCCATGGTAACATCATGATGGTATTACTAGCAGCATCCGCACCTTCAGGCACAGTACTCCACAGTACTACAGTACTACAGTACTACAGCGTTCCACACTAGTTCAAATGCACCAAATGAACGTCCTCGAGGTTCAAACATTATATCGTATTATAACGGTGAAGACCGCAGCTGCTTCCTCTTCCTCTTCTTCTTCTTCTTCTTTTGTTTAATGTTGTCTCTTCTTCCTGTGATTGGTCCAAAAGTCCAAACCATCCTGAGCTTCCAGAGGATCCTTCAGCTGCAGCTCACTGACGCGAGGCGACAAAAGGAGCTTGAATGAAGCAGAACGTCGAGATGAAACTGTGCGGCTGACGATGCCTCAGTCTCTGCTCTGCTTCCCAACACGAGCCAATGAGCAGTGAGTGGTCTCTGCTGCACTGTGGCGCTTTAACTCCCTGAAAGAGCTGCTGCACGGGTCAGAGTTCCATGTGTTCCATGAGTTGACATGTGCTGTTGTCTTCACTTCAGCTACATCAGTGTGTAAATCCTGTGCATTTCCGCTCTGCGACCACACTGACCAGCAGCGCCGTCGTTCTTAATGGCTGTGACGGACCATCAGTGGTTCTGGTCAAGCCGAGCAGAGAGAAAGCAGCGTTTAAAACATAAAGAAACACGGATGTGATAAATAAATAACTACTGCTGGTCCACACTGGCTGAATCAGCTGACCAGGATGCTTCTGTGTGGAGTTTGCATATTCAGTCTTGCTGTCTGTCTGCTGAGCTCCAGCCGATGACAGACGCCAGGATATTATCCTGTTGGGCCGGAGATATCCTTGCTTTTAACTACGCTTACAAATATTGGCTGCTTGTGTATCTTGTGTTCATCTGTGTGGTTGGACTTAGCCTCAGACTCATGAACAGAGATGTTAACCTTCTGCGAAGTTCACCGCATTGAGCATTTTCATAGTCGTCTTAACCTGGGAACACGTTTCTAAGCAGAGTAGCCACAAAATTAAATCATCTCCATTTATAGACTGACTGTAAAACTGTCTATAAAAGAGTGATGATAAACTCTTTGTAATCTTTTGCAGTTTTATGCAAATCAATCTTAAGTCTGAGATGTTTTTTTTCAGCAGCAGATTCTTCTTCTTGTGAACGTCAGACTCAAAATGTTTGAATATTTCTTTTATAACTTTTTTTAAGAGTAGCTGTAAAACACACATCTCTGATCTGGTTTCCAGGTTCGTTAACTCTTGACTCCAGTTAACTTTTGCTGTTGACGTCAGCGGCCTCAGGGTTCAAACACGTTTTTCAACCTGCGCTGTGAATTTTGGAAAGATGTGGTCAATATGGAGGACACAGTGGTTCATGTTATTAGTTCAAATGGTTTGTGTTTGTAATTTATTGTAACTTAGATAAAGTTCTGGTGAAATTTATACATAAATGCAGATAATTCCAAATCATTGATTTGTCGATCCCGATAAAAAGTGTTTACAATATTGCAGTGATTCATTAATTTCACGTTACCAAGGAGAGGTTATGTTTTTTAACCCGTGTGTCAGTTTGTTTATTTGTTTGTCAGGATTACGCAAAAAATACTGAACAGATTTCTACAAAACTTTGTGAAAGGATGGATCTGTGGATTAATCACTTCAGTCAGCCTGCACAGAATATGAGGACACGTTTTTTATTTTTTAAATTATTGTACAAATTAAGGGCAGCAGTGATTAGCACCGTCACCTCACAGCAGAACGTTTCCCTACTCGCATCCCTGTTCAGCCGACGTTCTCCTCGTGTCTGCTTGAGTTTTCTCTGTATGTTGACCCCGTGAGACACTGGAGACATTTCCAAGGTGAACCCAGCTTCTCGCTCGATGTCAGCTTTGCCTCCTTTTTCTTGAATTCTATGGTTCTATCTTTGGAAAGTGCAGCTCTTGTCTCAGTGTCGGTACCCGGCTCTCCTTGATGTGACTCTCGGCTCATGTATGATACTGGGTGTGTTTGAAGCTGCCATGCTGAGACCGGGCCTGACGCCTGATGTCCTCCCCTCTCCTCTCTGCTGCTCCAGCCAACACTACCAGGTTAATCGTCCCATTTAAATGTCAGCATCACTGAGGTGAAGCTCGTCCACACTCTGAATGCTTGTTGCAACATATCGCTGACGTATTGCAGATATGTTTGTCGAGCAAATATACACAGGATCTGCTATTGCTTGTTGTGCTGCTGTGCCAGATGTGAGGTGTAAATCTGAAACACACACACGCAACTCAGGTATTCAGCTCTCACAGATGAACGTCAAGGTGATTGGATTGGAAAACATCTCCCACAGTGAGAGCAGGCATTGATCTCATCTCAGGTTTTTGTCACTAATCCGCTCAAGCAGCTCTCGTCCGGCCTTGAATCAGGATTTGCGGCGGATGTGCCACTCATTCATCACTCCCTCATGAATGAGCCTGCAGCCGAGCATTCACGCACGTCAACAAACGTGTAAATGCCAGGTCTTGTTTTTATCAGATGACCAAACCAAAAAAAACCCTGCAGGGATACATGTACACATTCCTTCCTTTCCTTCTTTTTGTCGCCCATGCACACACGCTCACAGTGAGAGGGAGCCCCATGAGAGCTTGGAGGGTGACTGTGATTGAGCGGCTTTAAAAAAAATCCTCCTCCATCCATCCCCACACAGGCAGGAGGGGAAACATGAAAGCAGAAATTATGATTCCATGACAGTCGGATGCATTACAAGGTCACTCACAGCTTTTACCCAAAGGCCTGGATTTCATAAAACCTTCAGGGACATGAAAACCTCAATACAACACGAAATATATTCCTGTGGTTGATGGTTGAATTCCTGCTTCTCTTTGTGATGTAATGATTTATGTGACTCTGACATATGCATCAAATACCAAGAGCTGCTCGTCATTATTATTCAGTTACTAACCTAAAAAAGGTTGATCCCCCTCATGCATATGGATGAATGTATGGAGCACATGTTCTCCACCGTGTTGTGTGCTTCACTCCCCCTGATATTCTCCACATATTGTCGTGTGTATTTCGATGCATTGTGTTTCTCTGTCTGCAGAGATCGTGCAGGGAGCAGCAGCTGATGGAAGGAGCCTCCTCGCTGAGCTCAGCCGACACATGCCGCAGGATCCCGGCGTGTGTATCTCCAGCTCCCTCCCCTGAACCCCCATCTTCCACCTTTCATTGCAACTCATTCAATCTTACCTCAGTGTCGGCTTTTCTCCGGGTGTAACTCCCGGGTCCTCCGGGGCTGCTGAACTCCGCAGGATGGAGTGGGGGGGGGAGCAGATCGAACCTCCTCACGGGGAGAAGCTGCGGGACTCTCCGGTGGATCCACGGAGCGCAACTTCCATCCGGAGCAGCCGCAGGTTTCCCCGCAGAATGCGTCAGTTCAGTGTTGGAGGTGAATGAAGGGATGAAGGAGGAATACAAAATAAAAGCAGCAGCGGCTGAGAGGAGGAGAGAGAGACAAGTGATCACTTCGTCCTCGACACAAGAATGAAGCGAGGATCTCAACTACAACCCCCACCTCCCTCTCTCTCTCTCTCTCT